GTATGGAACACTTTAAGACATCTACCTATGCATCCACCTATTAGCAAAAAAATAAAATAAATAAATAATAAAAAATAAACAGAAAAAGAAAGATTTTGGGATGAGCTGTCCTTTAAAGCTCCAGATAGAACATTAAGTTATGGCAGAACAGATAAATAATAATGGTGTCATACAATTAGGACTCGTGAAAATAAATAATAAAGCCCTAAACTGGACTCATAAATGAATAGTCAGTTTTAGGTGTTTGTAGTGTTTTTGACTGCAGTTATTTACAGAGCTACCAGGCTCTGTTTTTTTAAAATCATCTTTTAATCTATTATAACTATAGCAATCATGCATCTCAACTGAAAAACCACCATCTTAAAGTTGACTGAAGCACGACCCATAGTTAGGTCTTGGCAGGTAGTTTTCCATACTCATAGAACATACATGGCTAGGAGAAAGAAGCATTATTTGTTCTCTGGTGCAGTAGATCCAGTGAATAACTCATTATCACTGGTAGAGAACACAAGATAGTGGCATGAATCGTCCCTTTGTGTACTGACAAATGGCCTTGTAACAAGTAGCATCCTTGCACATTAAACAGCAAAATGAATTTATATGCCCCCACCGTTTATAACGGGCAGCCTCATCCAGACAGTGGAGCGCGAAGTAAGGAACATTTGACATGCCTTTCTTTCCTCTGTGACAGACATTACTGTTAATGGACATGATAAATGCCAGATGGCTGCCAAGAATCATACAGAGAGAGCATATCAAAAACCCGTTGGCTAGTTAGTTGTTGCTTTTTTTTTGAAGGCATTGAACACACTTAACTGGAGGAAGGCGATAAAAGAGACTGGAAAAGAAACCAATTTTAGAGCCAAGTTTCAGAATGGAAATAGCTGAGTCACTATTCATCCTTCCTCTTTTTAGTGGCAAACATCTAACAAAGTCCTGCTTGCAGGACATGTTTCATTTTCAAAAATGCAGGTCTGTAATCCAACATATAGTGATGTCTTTTGTCATTTCTACTTGTATATATCTATATTTGTTATGGAGCTCAGAAACCTTATCAGGAGAATAAAAAAGCAGTGAACCTCTTAGTTGTACAATAATACATTGCGATAATAAATATCGCAATACACCCAGAGAAAAACAGGTCAGTTTGTGAAAGTAATAATAGATGGTGTCTTTGACAATGGTTTCCACTGAAAGGGAATGAGGACACTGACTCTGTGGAATTAATGCCACAGATTGTTTATGGTTCACATTACCCAAGTGAAACTAACATCCGAGGAAAACCACAGCACATTTCATTTGATTATATATCTGTAGATACAATGAGATAGTTACACAAGGGAGGATAAAAAATTTGCTTCCTGTACAAGACCTTATTGTAATCAGTATATTTATTATTAAAAGACTACTTAACATCCTCCCCAGCAATGGTACATTACTGTTTACCCTTTTAGTCAACAAAAAGCATATATATTTAATGTTATTATGATTTTATATGACTGAAAAACACAAAGCAAATTAAGTAAGATTTTTCTTTTTTTTTATGTATATTAGCTTTCCTTCCCAAAAATAATCAAGATCAGCCAGGCTGAATGTAGACTTTCCATAAAGAGAAGTATTTAGGTCCACACAAGGATTCTCTTAGGGAAATTTATCTGAACTATGACTGGGCCATTTTAACATATGCTTTGATCTAAACCATGTTCTTGACAACTCTTGCTGTATGTTTAGGGTTATCCCGCTAAAAGATGAGCCCCTGCTCCAGTCTCAACACACCTATATATTTATTAATTCTAATATTCATTCTTATCTGACCACCATCTTCCACCTATTATCCGTCTCCATATCTCTGCCTGGTTGTTTGGTGTCAGACTGCATACAGGTGAACTGATCAAGTACATTTTTAGCAGCCTTGAGCGTTTCTAACAAAATTATGCTGCCATCACAATTTTTCACTCTGGTTAAGGTGTAATTTCTCCAATGCCTAGCATTATTCTTGTGGGAAAACAAATTCAGTTTTGGTCCAGACCAGAGCACCTTCTTCAACATTTTTTTAACTCCGCTGGAGTTTAAGAACAGCCAATGGTTCTTTTCAACAATCAGTCACCTTCCAATAAAATGAAATCTAAAATAAGTGTATGCTTATGTGCATTTGGTGAAGTGAATTAGCCAAGATGTAGAAAATATATACAATTAATTTGACTCTAAATAAATGTATAGAAAATGCAAGGAAATATATTGTGAAGAAAAATTATTGCTGGGGTCTTTCTGCATGGAGTTTGCATGTTCTCCCTGAGCATGCGTGGGTTCTCTCCGGGTACTCTGGCTTCCTCTCACAGTGCAAAAACACGACTCTTAGGTTAATTTGCTTCTCTAATTTCTCCTTAGTTTTGGATGTGTGCATGCATGTTTGTATGTCTTTGTATGTTTCTGTAATGCCCTGCGACAGAGTGTGACCTGTTCAGGGTGTACCCCGCCTCTCGCCCATAGACTGCCAGAGATAAGCACCGGCCCCACCGCGACCCTGATGGAATAAGCAGGAGAAGAGAAGATGGATACAGGTGCTGGTCATAAAATTAGAATATCATGAAAAAGTAGATTGATTTCAGTAATTCCATTTAAAAAGTGAAACTTGTATATTATATTCATACATTACATACAAACTCATATATTTCAGATGTTTATTTTGTTTAATTTTGATGATTACAAATGACAACAAATGAAAATCTCAAATTCATCATATCAGAAAATTAGAATATTACTGAAGACCAATAAAAACAAAGGATTTATAGAAATGTTGGCCAACTGAAAAGTATGAACATGAAAAGTATGAGCATGTACAGCACTCAGTATTTAGTTGGGCCTCCTTTGGCCTGTATTACTGCAGCAATGCGGCGTGGCATGGAGTCGATCAGTCTGTGGCACTGCTCAGGTGTTATGATAGCCCAGGTTGCTCTAATAGTGGCTTTTAGCTCTTCTGAATTGTTGGGTCTGGTGTATTGCATCTTCTTCTTCACAATACCCCATAGATTTTCTATGGGGTTAAGGTCAGGAGAGTTTGCTGGCCAATTAAGAACAGGGATACCATGGTCCTTCAACCAGGTACTGGTAGCTTTGGCACTGTGTGCAGGTGCCAAGTCCTGTTGGAAAATGAAATCTGCATCTCCAAAAAGTTGGTCAGCTGCAGGAAGCATGAAGTGCTCTAAAACTTCCTGGTATGTGGCTGCGTTGACCCTGGACCTCAGAAAACACAATGGACCAACACCAGCAGATGACATGGCACCCCAAACCATCACTGACTGTGGAAACTTTACACTGGACTTCAAGCAACGTGGATGAAGTGCCTCTCTTCTTTTCCTCCAGACTCTGGGACCTTGATTTCCAAAGGAAATGCAAAATTTACTTTCATCAGAGAACATGACTTTGGACCACTCACCAGCAGTCCAGTCCTGTTTCTCTTTAGCCCAGGCAAGACGCTTCTGACGCTGTCTGTGGTTCAAGAGTGGCTTGACACAAGGAATGCGACAGCAGAAACCCATGTCTTTCATACGTCTGTGTGTGGTGGTTCTTGAAGCACTCACTCCAGCTGCAGTCCACTCTTTGTGAATCTCCCCCACATTTTTGAATGGGTTTTGTTTCACAATCCTCTCCAGGGTGCGGTTATCTCTCTTGCTTGTACACTTTTTTCGACCACATCTTTTCCTTCCCTTCGCCTCTCTATTAATGTGCTTGGACACTGAGCTCTGTGAACAGCCAGCCTCTTTAGCGATGACCTTTTGTGTCTTGCCCTCCTTGTGCAAGGTGTCGATGGTCGTCTTTTGGACAACTGTCAAGTCAGCAGTCTTCCCCATGATTGTGTAGCCTATAGAACTAGACTGAAAGACCATTTAAAGGCTTTTGCAGGTGGTTTGAGTTAATTAGCTGATTAGAGTGTGGCACCAGGGGCCATCAATTTTGAACCTTTTCACAATATTCTAATTTTCTGATATGATGAATTTGAGATTTTCATTTGTTGTCATTTGTAATCATCAAAATTAAACAAAATAAACATCTGAAATATATGAGTTTGTATGTAATGTATGAATATAATATACAAGTTTCACTTTTTAAATGGAATTACTGAAATCAGTCTACTTTTTCATGATATTCTAATTTTATGACCAGCACCTGTAGATTGATAGATGGATGGATGAATTAAGCTTCTATCTCTACTGTGTTTTCTGTAACTTCTTAACACCTTAACAGCAGAATTACAAAAATCCCAATGTAATCTATTTTGAAATGCATGTCAATTAATTTTCTTTGTATAAAAAATTAATTCCATCAAAAATGTGTTGGTTTTTTTTCACATGTGTCTGTGTGGTTTGAGATGTCATGGAGTGAATCATACGTACTTGACAGATGGAAACAAAGATCCCTATGTCTTTCTTTCCTCCTCAGGAAACCAGTAAAATATTGACCTAAAATACCATTTAAACTATACTTTGGGCCATTATTGCAGATTAATATTTGTATAATATGTGTGTGTCTAAAGTTTTATTCACACAGCATCTTTTTTCAGATAATCCTTAGATGAGTATTATACAATAAACAGCAAAGTCCTAAGCTTAAAGAAATAGAACAAGATCCTTAAATTATTCTTGTTACTTATTTAGATGTAACTTTCATCTAAATAGCTTATGGAAATTTTAATGTTATAGCAGAGACTAGAATCATGCTAAAAGAAAAAACTAACAAAAAAGAAGCTGTTGTGCAGCCATACATTACCAGAAGTAATAAAAACCACAAAATAGCCATTTCTCCTTCCCTAAAGCTGTAGGTTGAACTAAACCACTAAATATCTTGACAAAAATCATAACTTGCGAGGCTTATTATTGTGTCATCAGCAAATGAGACATTGTTGTGTCAGAACAGGAAGTTCCTAAATCTCTGAGTTCTTAAAAAGGACCTTATTCCTCAAAGTGGAACATCACTGGCATTAGCAACTTTGGATAATAGCCGATGAAAATAAAAAGGTGAGTGCGACTTTTAGTTTATTTCAACAATATGATAAATCCTGTAAAACCAGCAGTTTTATACATAAATAGTGAGAGGACTGTTTTAATGCTTGACCTTTCAACATTTATACATTATCAGAACAATCAACACATCAGTGATATGAGAAGCTCATGCTTTGTGGTCTTTTTGTGGCCTTTGTTAATTTAAGAGTGCATCAAATTGGCTTTCTGTGGTCCCCACAAGATCAGAAGGCCCTTCTTCTGAGACGAAAGGGGAAAATCTTCCATTTTTAACACAAGGCAGTGGAACAAATGTAGTTGTAGACCTCTTAAAATGCTGCATCAGCGTCTCGGTGCTTCAGTTGTTGACTGAAGCTGACAAGAACAGTCAGGAGAAATGTGTAAGAATAGGCAAAGCTAATTTTGAATTACACCATGGTATTTTTTGTCAATAGATGTAACTGCTTTGAAAGAAACATGCTGTAAATGCTAAATTTTCCAAATGCAAGTGCTGGGATCAAATAAGGTGAATTGACCTCACATGTCCCTCAACCATAATCTGGTTTGCAGGCCAAATGAGGGGTTTAAAAAAAAATCCATTATCTATGAGATAAGGTTAAAACAGGAAGAAAATAGTTTTAAATCTCAATGGGCTCTATGCACAGCTCCACTACTTCCTGAATTTAAAGCAGCTCCTTTGTTTCCTGTCTTTCATTACTGGACGAACTGATTAATCCAGGTGTGTCTGGCCAGTTACTTAGGTCATACACACCTGGATTAATCAGAGCATCCAATCATGAAAGACAGGAAACAAAGGAGCTGCTTTAAATTCAGGAAGTAGTGGAGTTGTGCATAGAGCCTATTATTAGCTTGTGGATCCCCTTTACAATGTTTATTAAGAGGACTCCCTTTTCCATAAGAAAAATCCAAATATCCTTTAAGGAAGGGAGGAAGAGCTTATAGATAATACTCATTAGAAACAGAGTGACTCCAACTCTTTTTAATCAGGTGCTATCAGATTTAGATCTAAATATAGCATGAATTATAGCCTCATTACTTAGCTGCCCATTGGGTTAAATCTATTTGATTTATTTAATAATAGTTACATGCATGCTGCATTTATACAGGAAGAATAATGTCTGATTTATGTCTTCACAGCCGAGCCTAGCATCATATACTTGCAAATAGGAAAACCTGCAGGATTTGCTATGCTCTACCATGATGATAATAATGTATTTCTCTTTATTTCTTGAATTCAAACCTTAAAGGAACATATTCACAAATATAGGTATTAACAGAATTTGTAGACTACTACATAAGTCTCTGATTTAATAATTTACTAAATTATAATTTTTTACAAGCAACTGTTCATATCCGGAAGCTGGATTTTTTTTTTTTTTATAATTTGAGTTTATCCAAGACCTTCAATGCGAACTTTTGTGCATTTGTGTAGTGTAGGAGCCAATTCTTTTTTGTTAATAATTAAAAATGTTTTTTGTCTTTTATTTTACTTTATTGTTTGATATCTCTCATATGAGATCATGTCTTTTGGTTATTTTGTCATGTTCCTTTCATTTTTGGTTAGTTGTGATTAATTTAGTTGAATTATTTTTCATAAATATCCAGTTAATGTTAGGACCAGCATGCATCTGGGTGGGCGTATGTTTTTTTTTTTTACCAGCGCAAGAGAAACATGGAGGAAATGTTTGTCTTTTTCTTTTTCTTTTGCCTGCATAAAATTAGTCCATGGTGTCATCAAAACTGGGCCACAACATGCTGTATTTATTACTGGAAATTAAGAGAACCAGGGAAGTGACATTATAAGAAGTAGATTAGCTGAGTCATTGATAGCTTCTTTAACATACTGCATTAACTGTGTGGTATTTTACTTAGCAAGGAATCGAAAGAAAGGGTAAGGAAAGCTGCTAAATAACTGCTGCAGTGTCAATTAATTTTAACAGCATTCCCATTTGGGGATAATAAGCCATTTAAGGTCTTGGATTAAAGCTAACACCATTATATTAATGGTTGGGAAAAACAGCACTTTTTTTTTTTATTAGAAAGGCTTTGTTCACACAAAGTGAGCAAACATATTGTTTTACAGACTTGACGGTAAGCTCAATGCTAAGATTTATTTAGTGTTGAAGCACCAGCGCCATATGGCCATACAGTGTGATGGTGATCAGTCAAATACTTAACGTTAACTAAGCTTTGGTGTGTCACCATATTCATGTCACAGCTCCAAAACAACAATGAAAAGGAAAAGGTGACAGCCTTGATTAAAGGCAATAAAAAGATGACTTAATGTCATAGTTTCCTTGGTTATGAAAGATTTGAACAGGCAATAAGATATCCTCTCTCTCACAGTGCAGCCACACAGCCATTTCTAACTCACAATCAAAATGCATTTTTAACACTTTATAAAAACAAAATCAAAGAAGTTTTGAACACAGAGGTATAAATGCCCTGTCTGACCTGATGCTTTAACATTTTGGTGAATTCTGTTTTTTTTTCACCACACAAACTATTTTATTTTAATTCAACAATGAAATTCTACACATCAAAAAAAAAAAAAAACACTTGGTTTCTCTAGGAGTACAGCTCTGTACCAAAGGAGAATGTCCCATAAATAGATCAGATTTTTATCTAATTAAAACATGTATCTGCTGATGTGTTTACAGCATGAAAAAGTTCAGGGTTTTAGTTTGATGAACTTAATGTAAAGAAATATAACCAAAATCTATTTTTTTTAAATCAGTTTTTGGTCGGAACTGAGACAAATGGAGAAAACAAATTCAACCAGTGCTTGATTGTACAAATTTTGTCATGATGGGTAAACAGAGAGGCCCAAGATGCAGAACACTGACGACTCAGAGGGAAAGTTTTAACAAGTTTATTGTTTGCACAAGCATGAATAATAATAAGGACAGTTGACTGGTTCTGGTCTGGGACTGGTTCACTGGAGTCTGTGAGAGAGACAGTTCTGTTAGCGAAGGCTTTGTTGGGATTGATCTTTATTGTGTTCAGGTTTGTACCTTGAAGAACGTAGAAGGGGCTTTGGGAGCGGAACTGTTGGGTCCGGAGATGATTTGGTTCTGCAGAGTCCGTAAGCTGTTTCAGCGTGTTACTTCTTGAAATGAGTTTGACCTTGGCTTGAGTTTCCAGCTCAGTATCCAGAGCTGCTAGGAAATCCAGAGAGTGAGTCTTCAGGTTTGGCTCGGAGGGCAGGCTCGGCAGGTTAAGCTCTTCCAGAGCTTCACGGAGAAAAACAGGTAACCTGGAAGCAGAGACAAAAAGGGGTTGAACCCAAAACAGGACTCAGAAGTAACTAGGTTCTCAGAGGATCTATGGCTTAGGTGCTAACCAACTGATTAAGACACTGCGGCGTCGAGGCAAGGTCTGAAGACAGCTTATGTAGTCTGGTCCTCCAGATGAGATGATCCGCAGCAGGTGCGCAGAAAGCTCAGCTGAGAGGATCCAGGGCGGACTCTAACAAATTTAGGGTTTAGATTTAGAAAGCTTTGATTGAAACCAGGATACTAACATTGAACCCATTTTTACAAAGAGTCTCCAGCTTTGTTTACTAAGTTTAGACCTAAAGATGTGTACCTCTCTGAGCTGCTTCTAGTTATCAATCTCCAATGAGCTTTGGAAACTCAAGGTGGTGACAGAGAACCAAAGCAAGCATGCAATGGAAGAAAGAACGAATCCATGAACAGCGTTAGGCATAAAACTGGTGTTTGAAATCTTTTTATTCTAAAATGTCAAACGCATCGCTGGCTTATGACAGTTCTGTTCTATTTTCAGTTGACGCTTAAAAACTACCCATGGCTGAAGTCCTATGATCTCTTCCGTCTTAGTGCACTCCAGTGTGATCTGTCTAATGTGTGTTAGATTCAAATGACTTGTCACTTTATCTGTAAAATAGCTGCACAATCATAGCACTCCTGTCCTGTAAGCTTGAAGGACGTCTGTGTCTGATCTTCAGAATAAGATACTATTGTTCAGTTGAAGGTCTGGAACTTCCTGATGTTCCTCAGATAAGGTCACGTTTTCCAATGACAACTGCTTAAGCGCAAGGCAAATATTACATTCTCTAACCATAAAACATTTAATTTTATTAACTCTAAACTTCTTTTTAAGTTCCTACAAAAAGCCTAAAGAAACAAGTTAAATATAAAAAAGATAGTTGTCTTTTTTTCAGCCATTATAGTTTTCATGTTTACATCCTTGGTTCATTGAGCTAAGGTTAGTTTCAGGTAGATTCAGGGGCTTTTATAATGGTGTTACATGTCTGAACTGTGTATCCCCACACAGAGTCTTTGACACATTCATTTGACAAATAGTGAGTAATGATAAGGTCATGCCTGCATAATTTACTGTTTGGCTTTGTTGTCTTTGTCATGGATGTAGAGCCATGATGAATGTCACAAGATCAGCTAATGTGCAGTAATGAAACTAATGTTTTCTTTTTCAATTGCCCCCATTCTAAACAAAAAAAGTGATTTGGCTTCATTGGATTTAATTCATTTTTTTCAGGTAAATACTTTAAGATCTCGGTGGAATTGTCTCATGCAGATTTCAGATGTAAAATTTCTTTATTTGGCTCACACAAAATTTCACTGCACAAATGTTATGGTTATAATTTTCTATTATGTCTTTCTGATATTAAACAATACACTGACAATACACCTGTACAGCAGCTGCTACAAGAGAAAAGACAATTAGGAGAAATGTATTGATACAATTACATTGCCTTTGGTGCTCAGACCTCGGCAGGAAACATAGCGTTGAGTTTTGATAGATATGCATTAACAGGAGCAAAGAATAGAGCTGTTTCCCCCCAGGCCTGAAACTGGTGGTGGAGTGGAGATAAATGAATTTGGTCAGTCTGTAGACTGCTGGTTAGCGAGACAGTCTGCTGAGCTTTTTCGGGAGATCCAGTGGATTGTGTGAGCTGATACTAGAGCTTCACTCAGGGACCTGGAAGACGGAAGTCCAGCGTGGATAACTCAGGT